AGAAAAAGCAGCAGCTTGAACTGCAGTAATTGCATACCACCTTCTGATTTTGAGGATCCTCTTGTGTTGATTGCTCCTCCGAAGAGATAAGCTTGAATTGTGGTAGTTCTTCATCATCCTTTTTTGCCTTCTTTTTTGGTTTCTTATTTTTTTCGTACACATAGCAAGATGCTTGAAACCTCTTTCTTTCTCTATTCTTCAGCCTTAGTACTCTTGAAGGAACATCAGGTTTTGGAGCATCTTGCTTCTTCTCTTCTTCTTTCTCTTCTTGTTGCTTCTCTTCTTCTTTCTTGTCTTCTTCTTTCTCTTCCTCTTCTTCTTCTTGCTCTTCAACTGGTTGTGTTGGTTGTGTTGTAGGCAGATCCATCTCCATTTCAAAGACTGTTGGGTCTGAGAACAAGCTTTCAATTTCTACCTTGTACTTTTCTTCAATCTCCTTTTTCTTGGCAATTTTCTCCATGTCAATACGAGTTTCCTTGCCTTCCAATTCTGCAATCCTCCTTTTTAGATTTTGTATTTCCTGAAGCTGAACTGTAGATTCTATTATCATGGTGGCAGTCACATATTCTTCATTATCTAATTTCTCTACGTATGTTGCCAACTTCGCTTCCAACTCCTTTGATCTCTTTTCTCCTTGGATAAATATATCCCACAATTCCTTCATTTTCTTCTCACTGTCTTCATTTATTTCATCCTTCCACAGTTGTAATCTTTCTGGGCAAATGAAGGTAGGATCTTGACGTTGGCGATAGTTGATTTGGTCTGTCATGGACTTCACCAAGAGGTCTTGAATTGCAAGAGGTTCATTTCCAGCTTCATTCTCAAACATTTTCTTCTTTCCATCCTCTTTTAATTCTGGAGTTTGATCAGCATTATCAGGTTTTCCTTGGTCTTCTGCTTCCTCTGCTTCTCTTTGTTGTCCTTCATCTTCTTTTTCTTTTTTCTGCATATTGAACGGAAACTAATTAGAAACTGCACTGCATTGGAGGAATGGAAACCGCAATGCATAATTCTCTGTTTAGAGATTCTTATACCTTGTCAAGAGGGACTCCCTCTTCTCTAGTAGTTTTTCTCCTTTTATATGCTTTCAAAATACCCTGTACAATGAGATTGAATGATTCAAAAACTGCATTGGATAAAATACAAACTGCAATGTAGAAAACACAAACTGCAATGCACTGTATACAGATTTTAATTACCTTGTCAACAGTGTCTTCCTCTTCCCTGGTAGTTTTTCGCTTTTTAGGAGTTTTGAAAATACCCTGTACAATGAGAATGATTTAGCATGGATTCACATTCAAGATACATTAAAGTAGAACATGCGATAAATTGCATACCTCGATGTCATTCAAGTCCTTTATTTGGTTGATGATTTAGCATGGATCCACAAGACTCCATTTAAGAATGGCAGGAGTTTCTTTCTCCTTGCCCAGGATTGGTTGTATTATGTTTGTCCTCTCACACAGTAGAAACTGCACAGTTCAAAAACAAGATATATCATAAATTAGGTTGGAAACTGCTTAGGATAAAACAGAAACTGCATTGCACTAAAGGGAAACTGCATTGCCTAAAACTCAAAATGCATTGCATAAGCCACTGTTTACTTACCAATATTAGGATAATGCAACCCGAAACAGCTCCAATAGAGCCTTCTCCTCCCTTCTTTGCTTTTTCTTTTGCTTTTGCGACCAAGGATTCATTCATGTAGGCTGAAACAGCTCTTGCCCAAGAATAGCTTGAAAGTGTGTCTAGATTCACACAGTGCTCAAATACTTTCCAATGCAAAGTAGATGAAGCGTTGGCAAAAAGGAATGTCATGCAGAGGTGAATCAATACTA